TCAAGGTTGTTTCCTTCTCCAAGATGAGATATAGGAACTTCACTTGGAAATATATCTATGCGACAGACATGAGGGAACACTCGCTAGATGTCAAAGAACAAAGTTACTGATGACTTTTTTTGTACAAGCAATCAAAGGAAAATACATATACGTACGTTATTTTATGTATTATATGCATTCTATGATTTCGCAGTTTCGAATGCCATGTACAACATAGAGCAAGGTGTAACTTTGAAGAAGTTAATATTACTCATCGCAGTTTCAACGGTCCGAAGAAAACAAATGCAATCCCTTCAGTCTATACGCATAGCCATTGCAATTCAGCAATTATTTTTTTCTTTTTATCACCCACTTTCTACGAGAGATTTATACTTTTACTTCACACGAATATCAGTCTTTGAAAAGAGTCAAGATAAACACTATTAATAAACCATTCCCAATTAGCCTTATGTCTTGTGATTCACTTTCATCTTGCAACACTTACAACCGCTTTTTTGTTTACAATCTTGATACAGTTGCAAAATTGTGAAAAAACAATACGCACGTGTATAACGTTTCAAGAAATAATCAAGATGCACGTAAAATTATTAGGCACAATTCTATACAGCGTGTTCAACAACACAGTTTTCTCTTTGTTTTTGTTTTCTTTTTTTCTTTGTTCTCTTTCCTTGCCGACACAATCTTGACTCTCTTAAAGATTGATTTAAAATATACCTCACAAAATAGATTCCCGTATCGGATCTAATGGATCTAAATTATAATTCCATAATAAGACCAAGGATGACGCCATGAACGTCCTCATAGTCTGTACAACTTCGCGAAAAGAACCGTGACAGAACTTTCACAAACATATATAACACAAAAGTAAAATTTTGTAGTAAATATGTAGGAGAGTATTCTTGTTTTAGAACTGATGTATCCGAAATATTATCCGACTTATTGAATTACATGTTCCCATATGAAGAGAATAATAAAATATGAGAGAGTGAGAGATAGAGAGAAACAAAAAACATTACAATAATTACATTAGAACGGAATTCATATGCGATTTTACTGTATGAAATATGTATTCAATTGATGAAAATTAGCTCTCTCTTTTTCTCCTTTCCTCTGCAGCATATGAGTAACTTCGCATATGAAGAGAAAAAAAAAAAAAAAAAAAAAA